AACACACACACACACACACACACACACACACACACACACACACACACACACACAGAGAAAGAAAGAAAGAAAGAAAAGCCACCACAGGCAAGACCAGACACAAATTGGCCCTTGGCACAGGCAGGTTGTACTCCGTGAAGCAGGTGGTATCATGTGGCCTGTGTGACACTGCGTGAGTTGGGTGGTTCTATGTGAGGCGGGAGGCACCATGGGCGGTGGGTCATACTATGTGGGTGGCCGAGACAAATGTAATTCAACAGAAAAAAACGGGAAAGTGAAAGAAAGACAAATGCAGGGCTAGACACATGCAGTTGTTGGTGAGCAGGTCACGAGTTCGCGGTCGCATGGGAGCAGAAATAAAATCAACAAATGGCTACCCGCTTTGTGTTCATGATCAGCAGCATTCAAACTCATGACCTATCTACCGTCTTTCCCCGAACACAACGCACCCCGATTACGGCTGTACCGAACTGGAAATTTAGCTTGTATACATTCATTTTTAGGGTGCGTTATGTTCGGGGGAAGACGGTAGTAACAGCCAAACGTTAACTGTTCTTCCACATCGGGCAATGGTGTGCTCGTATACAAAAAATGTATTCCCTTTCTATACCAGTGGTGAGCGTACTCTGGTAACCTCCATCCACAAAACAACACAAGCTCCAAAAGCCAAAAGAGCATCTCCAGGATCTACTCCATGCGACCTCCACCCTCACCACATCAAAAGCCCCAAAAACAATTCAATGTCGTTCACCACCCAGACCCCACCCGTCAGCCAGCTCTCGCATGAGCCCATTATGGAAGATCTGGCTTTTCCTGTAGAAAAATAGGATAAGATTAGATCAGATTAGACCAGAGATAGAGACACTTGGGAGAGGGGGGAGGGGGGCAGGGGGGGGGAAATCCTGATTGTTGCAATCTGAGCCCATGTCCATTTTTCTCTGCATCGCGAACCTCAAAGAACAAACCCATCACAGGGAACACCCTATCACAATGTCCAGACCTCGCACGTGAACCCAAACCCTATCACTATGGGCATATATGACCTCGCACGTGAACCCAAACCCTATCACTATGGGCATATAATGCCACCAGTCCCAAATAGCAACACCTACCCTTGCCACGATATACAGACCTCACTCAGTCACTCTTTCTGCTGCTCTCTTTCCACTCCTGCTTGTGTACTCTCTGAGCGGGACATTTGTGCGGATTTTTTTTTTTTTTTTTTTTTTTTTTAATAAAACAGGGCCTTATGGTCCTGGCTCCGTTCTATTCTGGGGAGCGTCAGTCCGGATCCTATTCCACTGTTTACTCTTTCTGCTGTTCCCTTTCTAATTCTGCTTTCATACTCTTATGTCATTGAAACAAGGACCCTATAAAAAAATTAAAAAAAAAAATAATAATAAAATTAATTAATTAAAAAAAAAAAAAAAAACAAGGACCCAAACCTGACCACAATGTACGGAAGTACGGAATTCACTCAGTCGCTCTTTCCGCTTCTGGACCATGAGACATTTCCATGCCATGCATATGCGATAATAAGCCTTGCTCCAGTACACAACATTCTAAATGCATCTGGAGCTGGTAGTGGCTCAGAACTTTACACCTCTTTTTACAACAAAGAGAATCTCAAGATATTCAATGTAACTAGACAAACTCCAAAAAAAAGAAAATATATATTCAAAATGTTGGATTAGTCTGAATGTATCCGGTCCACGATGATGGTCAGCATGTGTGCAGTGTGGTTGTGCGCTGCTTTCATGTGATGCAGTGCAGCCCTGCGCCACACGTACGCAAATGCATGCATGGCATGCCCTTGCAAGTATGCTTCAGAATCTTCAGATGCTATATATATATATATACTTTTAACGCCATGTTTTTCAACTGAATCTACAGTGGCAGATAGATACATTCCAGACAGTCGAATATGCGACTACGAGCTGAGATATACAATCATATACTTACTTGCATCAGCATTCTCTCACATAAACTCGATCCCTGGATGTCATCCTAGCGCATGTGCCATGCTAATCTTCTCTTAGGGCAATCACTCCATTACTCACCACATACGCAAAAGACAAAAGGAATTGGTCGTGCATCTTTCCATGTTCTAGCCAAAGATTCATTCTCATCTTGCACACCTAGTAAATAGTGGATGGAGCAAGGCCCTTTATCTTCCAACTTCATTGTTTTCTCAATTTGGACCATTTCTCATTTGGTGCACAAATCATCCTCGCACAGGTTCCCATTTTTTGAACAGATATCCCCGAGGACTTCAGAGAACATAAACTGCCAGCGAGCACAGCCCATGCATCAAAGAGAACATACCTGCTTCCGCAGTCTGCACAAAAACGGTTCTCTGGGAGCTTTAAGAGAGCTTCCAATATCTGCAATCACAGTGCCAGCAAATTTGATACACAAATAAATAAGGTGAGTTCGATTCAGTGAGTCCGGCATGGATCCATCCACTAGCATGAGGGGAACAGCAACCACCATTGCGTCTCAACATCACACAACCTGCATGCGCATGAGCCAAGAATTCGGGGTTCCGGGGGGGAGGGGAAGTGGGTGCAGAAAGATTGAAAAAGACGGACAGACGGAGGTGTAAAGAGGGGGGAACAGGCAGGACAGTGCAAAGAGGGGTGAACAGGCAGGACAGTGCATAAAGGGGGGAGCAGGGAGGAAGGAAAGGAGAAGGAAGCAGGATGACAGACAAGATTGATGTCGCAGACTGTAAAAGAAAAGTTCAACAGGGGGTAAGAGAGAGAGAGCGAGAGGGAGACAAAGAGACAGAGGGAGATGGAAAGAGAGAAAGAGAGAGAGAGAGGGAGACAAAAAGACAGAGGGAGATGGAAAGACAGAAAGAGAGAGAA